GCTCAAGCGATTCTTTTGCCTCAGCCTCCCAAGCAGCTGGGACTACGGGCGAGCGCCACCACACCTGGCTTATTTTTGTACTTTTATTAGAGACAGGGTTTCACCGTATTGGTCAGGCTGGTCTGGAACTCCTGACCTGGTGATCCACCAGCCTCAGCCTCCCAAAGTGCTGGGATTAGAGGCGTGAGCCACCGCACCCGGCCTGGGTAGCTTGAAAACACTTTAATCTCAATGCTTTAAACTCAGAGTAGAAAATCAATAAAGCAAAAGAACGAGACCACACAGTGTAGAATGAATGTCTTTTCACCACCTAGGGAAATCTGCAGTCCTAAGAAAAAAGGGAGTGAGAATTCTGGCCAAAGGACTTTTTGCCTCTGGATCCCAGGATTCAGTACGGGCGCGAACGCTCCTGTGCGTTGACCACACTCCCACGGTTGCTTTTTCAGACATGCTGAGGAGGACCCTGCTATGCGCGGTGCTCGGACTTCTACGAGCCCAGCCCTTCCCCTGTCCGCCAGCCTGCAAGTGTGTCTTCCGGGACGCCGCGCAGTGCTCAGGGGGCGACGTGGCGCGCATCTCCGCCTTGGGCCTGCCCACCAACCTCACGCACATCCTGCTCTTCCGAATGAGCCGCGGCGTCTTGCAGAACCACAGCTTCAGTGGCATGACCGTCCTGCAGCGCCTCATGCTCTCCGACAGCCACGTTTCCGCCATTGCCCCTGGCACCTTCAATGACCTGAGAAAACTGAAAACCCTCAGGCTGTCGCGCAACCAAATCACTCATCTTCCAGGCGCGCTGCTGGATAACTTGGTGCTCCTGGAGCAGTTGTTTTTGGACCACAATGCGCTAAGGGACCTTGACCAAAACCTGTTTCAGAAACTGGCTAACCTGCAGGAGCTCGTTCTGAACCAGAATCAGCTCGATTTCCTTCCTCCCAGTCTCTTCACGAATCTGGGGAACCTGATGTTGTTGGATTTATCGGGAAACGACTTGACCCACCTGCCCGAGGGACTGCTTGGCGCACAGGCTAAGCTTGAGAGACTTCTGCTCCATTCGAACCGGCTTGTGTCTCTGGATTCTGGGCTGATGAACAGCCTGGGGGCCCTGACAGATCTGCAGCTCCACCGAAATCACATCGGTTCCATCGCACCCGGGACCTTCGACCGCCTCCCAAACCTGAACTCTTTGACTCTTGCGAGAAACCATCTTGCGTTTCTCCCCTCGGCGCTCTTTCTTCATTCGCACAATTTGACTCTGCTGACTCTCTTCGAGAACCCTCTGGCAGAGCTCCCGGGGGTGCTCTTCGGGGAGATGGGGGGCCTGCGGGAGCTGTGGCTGAACGGCACTCAGCTGCGCACCTTGCCCGCCGCCGCCTTCCGAAACCTGAGCCGCCTGCGGGTCTTAGGGGTGACCCTGAGCCCGCGGCTCAGCGCGCTCCCGCAGGGCGCCTTCCAGGGCCTGGGCGAGCTCCGGGAGCTCGCGCTGCACTCCAACGGCCTGACCGCCCTCCCCGACGGCTTGCTGCGCGGCCTCGGCAGGCTGCGCCAGGTGTCCTTGCGCCGCAACAGGCTGCGCGCCCTGCCCCGCACGCTCTTCCGAAATCTCAGCAGCCTGGAGAGCGTCCAGCTGGACCATAACCAGCTGGAGACCCTGCCTGGCGACGTGTTTGGGGCTCTGCCCCGGCTGACGGAGGTCCTGTTGGGGCACAACCCCTGGCGCTGCGACTGTGGCCTGGGGCCCTTCCTGGGGTGGCTGCGGCAGCACCCAGGCCTTGTGGGCGGGGAAGAGCCCCCCCGGTGCGCAGGCCCTGGGGAGCACGCCGGCCTGCAGCTCTGGGCCCTGCCAGGGAGTGACGCGGAGTGCCCCGGTCCCCGGGGCCCGCCTCCCCACCCCGCTGCGGACAGCTCCTCTGAAGCCCCTGGCAGTCTAACCTTGGCTCCCAACAGCTCAGAACTCTGGGTGTGGGCCCAGCCGGTGGCCACGGGCAAACGTCAAGATCATAGCCCATTCTGGGGGTTTTATTTTCTGCTTTTAGCTATTCAGGCCATGATCACCGCGGTCATCATGTTTGCTATGTTTAAAATCGGCCAGCTCTTTCGAAAATTAATCAGAGAGAGAGCTCTTGGTTAAGTCAATCGGAAAATCTTCTAATTCTTTAGAAAGTGACCAGATATGGCTCAGAGGAGAATCCAGACCGGCTGCTGCTGTCTTCCTCTCCCTCCTCCCCTCCCCACTCCTCCTCTCTTCCTCCTCTTCTCCCCCACTGCCACGTCTTCCTTTCCCTCCTCTCCTCTCCGCTCTGTGCTCTTCATTCTCACAGGCCCGCAACCCCTCCTCTCTGTCCCCCCTCCCTCCCTCCCTCTCCTCAGAACTAAGCTTTGCATTTGTGAACTGTGGTTGCCTGCCTTCCCTAGCTCCCGCTCCGGTGGGGGCGGTGGGGGCGCTGGGTTGTGTTGGGCCCATCCTTGCCCCGCTGTGGCTGGCTTGGCGTCTGGCGGAGAGAGGGGGCTCTACCGAGTAAGGGGACAACTCCAGGCCAGGGCCTGTCTCCTGCACAGAGTTAGCCGGCAAATGTTTGTGAAATCAATGAATGGATAAAGAAATGCATGCGATCCAAGTAATGATGGCTTTTCCTGGAGGGAAAGGATCGGTTGCTCTCTTTATCTATTTTTTATTTTTTTAAGACAGAGTCTCACTCTGTCGCCCAGAATGGAAGTACAGTGGTGCGATCTCGGCTCATTGCAGCCTCTGCCTCCCAGGTTCAAGCGATTCTCATGCCTCAGCTTTTCCAGTAGTTGGGATTGCAGGAGTGTGCCACGACACCCAGCTAAATTTTGTATTTTTTTAAGTAGAGATGGGGTTTTGCCATGTTGGCCAGGCTGGTCTCGAACTCCTGCCCACAAGTGATCTGCCCGCCTTGGCCCTCCCAAAGTGCTGGAATTACAGGCATGAGCCACCACACCCGGCCCTCTTTATCGACTTTTAATTGAGAAGTAGCGCTCTTGCCGTTCTTTCCCTTGCCCCATTTTTCTCATTTTATATATCTCTGACCTATGGGCTATATTTGGGAGAGCACTGGACTCCATTTATGCAATGAGCAATTTCAGGATAGGCGGCTTCTGTGAAGCTGAGAGAGGAAGAAAACACAGAGCCTTCCCTCCAGGCGCTCAGTGTGTCCAGCGTGTTTCCTGAGCCTCCCGTGAGTTTCCACTTGCTTTACATCCATGCAATACGTCATTCTGAAACTGGATTGATTTTCATTTCCTGGAACTTTGCCACCTCATTTCACAAGCATTTATGGAACAGCTAACATGTGGCTGTTATTCATGAATATAATGATAAGCTTGATTCTAGTTTAGCTGCTGTCACAGTCTCCTTTGTTCTTCCAGCTGAAAGCTGTAAAACCTTTGTTGCTTTAATTGGATATCTGTGCGTGGGAGAGGCAGTGGTTAAAACAGGGACTGGCGAGTTGACAACTGCGGGTTCAAATCCCAGCTCTACCACTTACTAATGCATGGGACTTTATGTAAGTCACCTGCTTACATTCTCTAAGCCTTAGTTGCCTCAGCCTTAAAAAAGGATAAAATAGTACCTGCTTCGTAGCGTTTTTATGAGAATTAAAGGCAATAAAGCATATCATGACTTTGCCCAGTGGCCTGCAGTCAATAAATAGTAATGAATGTTAGCTACTATTACTAAAGGACAAGCAATTATTATTGGCATCATGATTTCTAAAGAAGACCTTTGAGGTTTTTTTTTTCGCCCCTTCTGTGTATAAAGGTAAATCCAAACTTTCTCGTACTGAAGGTTACATTCAAATCAGTCCGTCTTCCCCTGTGGGTGGCCTCAGCCCCGTGTGGCCAGGCTCTGTGCTCATGGTCCTCCAACACCACCAGGTGGATGCTGGCATTGGATTGTGGGTGCTGCAGATGTGGGAGTCGGTTTCTGGGTTCTCCATTGGTCTGTTTGTCTAGTCCCATGTCATACTCAATGTCTTCATTATTGGAGCTTTAATAATTTTGGTATAGGCTCATCTCTCTACCTTGTTTTTATTTGACTTTTGGCTCTTTGCAATTCTATGACTATTTCAGGGTCAGCATGTCAACTCCATTGAGAACCCCTGCTGGGATTTTAATAGAAATGGCAGTAAATTTATGAATGAATTTGAGGAAGAATTTGCATTTTTTACAATAACTACTCTTCTTGCCAGTAAGCATGGTTCATCTTCCCATTTATTTACATTACTTTTTCTTTTTTTTTTTTGAGACAGAGTCTTGCTCTGTTTCCCAGGCTGGAGTGCAGTGGTATGATCCACTTGGTGGACAAAAGCGAGACTGAGTCTTAAAATATATATATATATATTTCATCTTTTTACCTGATATTTGGAAGGGACTGAATGGATATGTGTTGTTTTTCTATATCTTCTTGCTCAAGCAACATTTATATCAATGTTAGTTTTTTCTTTTTTAGAGCTAGTGAAAAAAAACCCCACAATTCTTTAAAGAATGAAATGAGGAGCCAGCTGCCATGTCGTGAGGACACTCAAGCAGCCCTAAAGGGGTCTACATGGCAAGGACCCAAGGCCTCCTGCCGTGAGCCAGCAGGGAACTGGCCGGTGTGAGCGGATACATTGGAAGCAAATCCTCCAGCCGCAGTCATGATGATCATGGCCCCAGCCAACCGTTTGATGCCAACCTCATGACAGACCTTGAGACACAGCCGCTCAACTAAGCTACTCCCAAATTCTTGACCCTCAAAAACTGTGACTTAATATATTTTATTGTTTTACACCACCAAGATCTGGGGTATTTGTTTTGCAACAATAAATACCTAATACACACACAATAAAACCAGGCCACGACGGTTTTCCAGGGGAGCTCTACAACATGTTCAAATAAAAGATAATTCCAGTTTTTATGAACTGTATCAGAGAGCACATCCCTGCCCACTTTATGAGGCTGTATAACCCGATACCAGAATTGGTCATGGATTTTTTTTCAAACAATTTATAAGCAAATCTCACTAATAATAAAAGTCCTAAACAAAACAGCAAGCTGAATTCAGATATATATATATATATATATATAT